GGGCCCTTGGCCTGGCCTGTGGAATCAGGCCAAAACCGGCTCTCCGACATCCCCCTAGGGGTCCTGGATTGCAAGAGGGCGCAGGCCAGGCCGAGGGAACCTACCAGTGCACAATTGTGGCCAGGAGGGATGCAGGAGGTTGGCCCCCCTCCCCCCCCAGGGACTGTGGGAAGGCTCCAGGGCATGTCTGCCCATCTCACTCAGTCCTTATCGGCTGGACCCCAGCAGCAAGCTAACCTACTGGTCGGAGCGCCTGCCCCCGGTGGTCAGTGCTCATCATAGCGACTGGTTGACCATTCGACTCTCTGCTCCCTGGTGGTCAGTGCACATCATAGCAAGCAGTTGAGCAGCCTTAGCATATCATTAGCATATTACTCTTTGATTGGTTGAACTGACGACCGGACACTTGGCATATTAGGCTTTTGTTATATAGAATAGGCAATGGTAAGGCTTGCCTTTCTTGTATTTTGTAAAGTTAATCTTTCAAAGACAACTATCTGATTTTCTGCTTTTTCTCTCTCCTTCAAAATGGTGATTATTTATTCATAGGATTTTAAAAGCCACGAATAGTATTTACTATATTTAAGCTCTATGGTAGTCAATGAAATGAAAGTAATACTTTTTCCTTATTGCAGTCATCTTAATGAAGGAGATAGGGTATTATTCCTTTTCATGTGCCCTTGAGACTAGAAAATTCAGTGCCAGATTAGTAGGTTAGGGCTGCTTTTTGCTTCTGTATGCTTTTTGGTTTTCAGTTACATCCTGATACACTAGTTCATAGAAAACCAGACTTTTTAAATTGAAGGGAATCTTGCCGAAACCGGTTTGGCTCAGTGGATAGAGCGTCGGCCTGCGGACTGAGGGGTCCCAGGTTCGATTCCGGTCAAGGGCATGTACCTGGGTTGCGGGCACATCCCCAGTGGGAGATGTGCAGGAGGCAGCTGATCGATGTCTCTCATCGATGTTTCTGACTCTATCTCTCTCCCTTCCTCTCTGTAAAAAAATCAATAAAATATATTAAAAAATAATAATAAATTGAAGGGAATCTTAAGAGGTATTTATTTGCTTCAGCCTTACATCTCATGCATATTTCTATTAGTGGTTTATATTTATTGAGTACTTTTAGGGTAGTAGGCATTGTGATGAATGCTTTACATGTATAAACTCATTAAATCCTCACAACAGCCCTATGGGAATACAATTATTGGCCTATTTCAGAAGAAGAAACTGAGTTTAGACAAATAAATGGCATAGATAGACATTGGGCTAACTGAGATTCATATGCAGGCCTGTCTGGCAATACAGCTGTGCTTCCAACCTGCATTGTTACTCTCTGGTGCATAAAGATCCTGTACTACAGTGCTTCCTAACTTTTGACATTCACTGGTTTTGAGGAGGAGCTTAAGATTCTAGCAAGCTTCCAGGTAATGTCACTGCTGCAGCACCATGGATAACACTTTGAATAGTAAGATTCTACTGATGACATTTAGCCAAGTGAAAGTGCAACTTGTACTTGATCACCTGCAGTTAAATGGGGCTCATAGCCTCAGAGAAGCAAGCCTTTTCACATACAGATGGTTCTAATTACTATGAATTCTTCCTACAATATAGTTCTATGAATATCTGTTTCATAGGACGCTTGAGAGAGTTAAGTGAGTTAATATATGTAAAATGCTTAGAATAGTACCTGGCCCATAATAATAGGTAAGAGTTAACTGTCATTAATTATCACTAAATTATTACTGTAGTCTACTTATTTCAGTGGCAGTGCCTTTTGGAATCCTACCAAAAAAGTCTTCTCTTTTCCAGCCCTTCACATATTTGCAAACAGTAATCAAATCCTCACTGAGCCTCTGTTCTCCAGGATGAGCAGCCCCAGTTCCTTCTGATTTGTTCATATGAGTCTCTTCTATGTCCTGGAGGCTTGCCTGGATAATCCTTTATCTCTCAATGTGTCTTTCAGGGTAGGGAGCATAGGACTGAATGCTCTGTAAGTGGTCTAACAAGGACAAGTAGAGCAAGGCTCTTCTGGTCACTGCACTGCTTGGAAGGTAGCAAAAATCAGGTGAACATTATACAGGTTCCATTGGCTGCTTCTCTGTCTCCTGTTCTTTCTTTTACCCCTATCCAGAATGCTGTTCTTCATGGCCCTCAGTGCCTCACTTTTAAATTCTCACCTGTCACTCTATGGATTCAATTATTTTCTCTGCTATTGACACCCAAGTCTACATCCTTAGATGTAAATTGTAAGCTCCTCAAAAGCAGAGACTCCAATTCATCTGGGTCTGGCACTATATATAGCACCTAAACATTGAAATGAACATATGTAGAAAAAAATAAAATACATTAGATCTACATCCATCTAGGTTTTTATTCCATTTCCCCATTTCAATTCAATGGCTACCCTATTTTGCCCAATACTAAAGCATAACATTTAATCTATTACCACATCCTGATGATTTGTTTTTCATAATGACCCTTAGACCAGGCCCTAGTTATCTCCTAAATGAATTGCTGAAATAATCTAATTGGTTTTCCTCCCTCTACACTGCCCCTCATGCTGCACTCCTAATTAATCTTCCTGAAGTATTATTTCAATGGAGTTACTTTCCCCTTGATCAAGCTCTGATTTGTAGTTTGCCTGTCAGAACAAGTTTAAACTTTTCTTTTTGATATCCCAGGATCAGATTCTCTTTGCTATATTTAAGCAACCTTTTCTCTCAGTTTTCTTCCCAGAGCATCACGCCAGGCTCCTTGTTGAGTGCATGTGTGCATACACAGGTTTTTTTCTACCGTCACAGCTTTGTTTATTCACCTAGCATGTTCTCTGTCAAAATCCTAATCTTTCCAACAAGTTTGAAATACACTCATTTCCTCCTTTACTTCGCTCTTACTACATGTAATTCACATTTGATATTTGCTTATATTCTGTTTTATGCCGAAACCGGTTTGGCTCA